AATAACTGATGAGGATGAGGTACATACCTCTCTCCCATTACTAGCCTTATAGTCCAACAGGTTTATTTGAAATCATAAGCTTTCGGAGTGCTGCTCCTTCGTCAGGTACAGTGAGAGGAGAACACGCAGACACAGAGTTTATGGGCAGGGAGATCAAAGGATCATACAATTGGTGTGAGAAGAGTGAACAAACCTAAAATGGCTGACTGACAACCTCCTGTTGAATCTTTAATCCTTCATACATTCCTGCATTCTAGAAGTTGCAAAAGCAGAACATAGAGAACTCTGTTAGAAAGGAGACACAAGTTTCAATTGATTAAGATGCAAATCTGTTTCAAGTCACTGCCCCGAGATAATTAAAGATTTCATCAGTGTCTGCCTAGCTTTCCAAACTTGAAAACAGGCAGAGCGATAGGAATATACAAAAGGTGACATCTCAGGTCAGACACTGAGTTGTAGGTGTGAGGCCTTGTCCAGAACCTGTGTCAGAGTTTTAACCTGGAATCAGGCAGGTTTTAGTCTAAAAGCAGGAATTTATAAGATGCCACACTGACTGATTGTGACAACAAATTGTGTGTTTCTTGAACAAAATAGAATGCACCTGCAAATAAACAAACATCATGGATGAAATGATTCACTCCATCGGTGTGTGTGAGAGAGAGAGAGAGCGTGTGATGAGTAATTCAAAACGGTACAAACTAATTTAGGTAGAAAAAGCATAACAATTTATCAAGGTGACTGTGTCAAAACAGGACAGGAAGGATAATTTCACAGATATAGAACAGTGTGGTGGGGTCACCTGTAGCGTGCCATGAACCCAAGATCACGGTTGATCATGGGTACGGAACTTGGCTATCAGTCTCTGCTCGGTGACTTTGAGTTGTTTTGTATCTCGGAGTTCGTCTTAGCGGACGCTTACCCGAAGATCGGAGGCTAAATGTCCTTGACAGTTGATGTGTTGCCTGACTGGGAGGGAACATTCCTATCTGGTGATTGTTGCGTGTTGTCCATTCATCTGTTGTAGCGTCTGTATGGTCTCACCAATATACCATGCCTCAGGTGATCCTTGCCTGCAGCGTATGAGATAGACAATACTGGCCTAGTCACTTGAGTATCTGCTTTGCCTGTGGTGGGTGGTGTTCCCATGTGTGATGGAAGTGTCCATGTCGATGATTTGACATGTCTTGCAGAGGTTGTCATGGCAGGGTTGTGTGGTGTTGTGGTCAATGTTGTCCTGAGGGCTGGGTTGTTTGCTGCAAACAGTGGTCTGTTGAAGGTTTGGCGGTTGTTTGAAGGCGAGAAGTGGAAGCGCAGGGATGATCTTGGAGAGATGCTCATCATCATCAATGACATGCTGAAGGCTGCGGATACCAAGGTGTAGATTCTCTGTCCTGGGAAGTACTGGATGATGAAGGGTTCTCTATCAGTTGTATCCTGTGTCTGTCTTCTGAGGAAGTCGTTGCGGTTTTTCGTTGTGGTCTGTCGGAACTGGTAATTGATGAGTTGTGCATCTTATCCCATTCTTATGAGGGTTTCCTTCAAAGCCCTCAAGTTTCCATCATGTTTCTCCTCAACTGAGCACATCCCTGTGTATGCACAGTGCTTGTCTGTAGGGGATGGTTTTTTTTTTAATATGTTTAAGGTGGAAACTAAAGAAGTGCAGCATCATGAGGTTATCTGTCGGCTTGTGTAGACTGAGGCACAGAGGTGTCAGTCCTTGATGGAGATGCGTGTGTCCAAGAACGAGACTGATTCTAAAGAGTAGTCCATGGTAAGTCTGATGGTGGGGTGAAACTTGTTGATATCGCTATGTAAGCTGTTTCAGTGATTCCTCACCATAAGTCCAAAGGAAGAAAATGTCATCAATGTATCTGGTGTATAGCATTGGTCGGAGGTTTTGTGCAGCAAAGAAGTCTTGGTCGAGCTTGTGCATGAAAATGTTGGCATATTGGGGAGCAAATCTGGTCCCCATGACTGTTCCATGTATCTGGATGAAGAACTGGTTGTCGGAAGTGAAGACGTTGTGGTCGAGGATAAATTGGATGAGTTTTAGGA